TTTAAAAAAATACAACGGCTGTTTTCATCACATTAAACAGAAGAGATAAGAAATCTGCAGGTAATATGTTCGATTGGACCAGAAATTACGTTTTATTTTTTTAAAACAAATTTTGAAATGGACACAAAGTCTAATAAATTTAAGTAGTAGTTTTTGTTAATTCAAGTAGCATTCATTAGAGCCCCTAAATAAATAAAATCCATGTAGGAAAGGAATACGTTGTAGAATATATATGCACGTATGTAGGCATTTTTACAAAATTTCAGTGTGTGATTCATTAAATTGTGAAGTAACTTTTAAATCTAATCTGACTATTTACTGTTAACAAAAGAATTCAATATTCTATTCGGAAGTGTTATCATCACAAATACAATACATAGATAGACGCAAACGATTTCTCGAGGCAAATAGGCAAGGTGACCGAATGACGCGAGGTCATTAACGAGATTACAATGAAGACAAACAGATATCGTTTGCTGAGAATCTTATGGTTAAAGAACTATTACAATAAAATACAATACTGTTTAAAATTGCAGAATTTAGATACCTGCCTACGAAAGAAATAGTTGTTACAATTTTTCCAAATTTTGGACAAGGCTAAAAATTCATTGCTAAGCTTAATATTTTTATATTTTAAAAAGAGTGGTACATTATTTTTCTTCCTTAACAAACACTATTTTTGATTAAGAGGCACCTTCTTGACTATTATTACTTTATTATATTTTTATATAGTCATTTTCCTTAAAACTAAAAATTTAATTGAAAAATAAGCACAACAATCTTCCTAAATAAATGTTAAAGTTTTTTGCCCGCATATTTAACCACATATAAAACTTTATCAGATATCGTATAAAAAATTGTTATGTACAGTATACAACATAAAAATACGCACATTAGACAAACAACCAAAACAGAGTGAACAAAAAAAANATTAGTCTTTTTCCGTTCTCATTTATTTCTTTATCTTGTGATTCTCTAACTCTAAAATTAGCGCCTACTTCTTCATCAGCTGAATTGCAAATTTGTGCCTTTCCAACCCTTGCATTCATGTCTCCACACACGAAAATTACTTCACATTCTCCCATTACCTCTTCTACAGTTATTTTTAGCTTTTCTTCTGCAATACTCATTGCTGTATTTATATACACCGAAATAATGCAAAACCCTTGCTCGCTTCTAACTATCATTCCATATTCCCATTCACTCACTTTCCATTTATCTACCACTTCTTTTCTAATGCCTATTATTTGTCCGCCAGATAGTCTACCTTTCATGCTTTCTGCTTTTTTCTTTATTGCACTCATTGTCCAGTATTTAAAATTGTTGCTTAAATTACGCACTGCCCTTATTGCACCATTTGAGTCCAGCCAAGTCTCCTGCAGTATAACTATTTCGAAGTCTTCCAAAAAGCTTCTTATTTCCCTAAACCTTTTCGATCCGTGAGTATTCCATACCACGACCTTGCACACTCCCCCATCACTTCCATTACTCTCCTGCTCTTCCACCACAAAAGGGCTGTTTCTCCAGTTCTGCTGTTTTTTCATTGAACTTGAACGTTTCTCCATCTAAAGTTATTTTTCTGTAACTGACCAATGCTCTCTTCCCTTTTTCCCTTTCCGTTTTGGCCAACCATCTTAACCATTTCTGCACCTCAATTTCCCTTTTCGTGTGGTCATCATCAATCCAAACGTTTGAACCCCTTAGTTCCCTTTTGCTATCTATTAGCTTTATTTTGTCTTCGAATCTTTCAAATTCTAAACATACTAAGTTTTCTTTTCCATATTTCACTGTGAAGCTATTTTCATTTATTTTGAAACGCTTCACAGTGCGTCGCACTATCTCTTCTTTACTGCATCTCTCCTGTGTTTCAATGTACCTAATTATTACATTCTTTCTTCTTTTTTTCCTTTCTTGAATTTCATACTTCCAGTGATCTTCCGATATCCCCTCCGGAGCCTTAATCTCATTGCTTCCTTCTGTACTAGCTGATCGGTTTCTCGTAGCCTTCAATAATCTATTACTTTCTTTTTTATTCCCTTTTTTCACATTAACTTGCTTTTGACCCCTAGTATCATTTTGTAATTTGTTCTCCTCTTGTTCACTACTTCCCTTACGTTCGCTAGCCTCTTTGCTCTGTTCGTCTTTTTTCTGTTTTCCTTCTAACTTTTTTATTTTTTCGCGCAGTTTTTCATTTTCTCTTAACAGCTTCTGTTTTTCCTCTTCTCCCTCCATTTTTTGCTGCTCCGCTTCTTTCTTTAATTCTAACACTACCTTAAATAACTTGCTAATGTCACTTTTAACTGCCAATAATTCACTTTTTATCACTTCAAAATCATTTATCTCATTAATTTTGATAACACCGTCGATGTTAGGTTGCCACTCAATCTCCTTGTCAGTGCCATCTTTACACATTTCATCACTACTATCTACCCCCTCCGCGTCTTCTGACTCGCCCATGTCTTCTTCTCTATTCCTCAAATCGTATCCCGATCTGTATTTATTCTTAGTTCCGCTGAGTACCATTTGGCTCCCTCTGTCATCGCTGATGACGTATTTCAAAATACTTCCTTCTTTCCCTTCCACGCACTTTTTTGGCGGGCGCCCTGGCCCTCTTTTTTTTGCCTCGCTTTTTACTTCCATAACCTCAACGGCATATTCCTCGCTGTTTCACCTCGTAGTTCCCGTAGTTGTCAGTACTTCCCTCGGGAAATATATTCCAACTATACTTCCAACAGACAGCCGCTTATTTTCACAAAATCACCACCACCACTTTTAAATTTCTGAGAGACTTCGCAATATAATGCTACTCGTCACGTCGATCACTCTCCACCTTCCGCCATCCTCTCCAAATAAATTTAAATAGATTATTTTATTAATACGAATAATTTAATTTAACAATAATTTCGACTCGCACTGTAATATTTCTATGCTAATCAAGACTAATGAGCACTATATATAGTTTTAAATACTGATTACTGGACCATCAAATAGGCAACCCACTGTACTGCAAAGTATTCTCATAGTCAGTGTAGTGCTTACTCCTAATCTAATGATTTTGTTATCAAATAGGTAATTAAAAATATCCACTAGTAAGTTTGAATCATATAATTTTAGTTTGCATTCATTCATAACTACTTTACTAAATTTTGGTATTTTCAATTCGTTTAATAAGAGAAAAATTAATTTATCAAAAAAATAAAAACTGCTTATTTAAATTAGGGATTACAAGTGCATCCCGGGAATTTCGAGCTTTAAAATTCGTTTTACTGATGCCTCAAAAGGACTTTAATAGATTTTAGTGCATTCAAATGTTTTAATAAGAAAGAAATAAAAAGATAAAAAAATAGAAACAATGTATTTAAATAGGGGTTTGAAAGTGCACCCCGCTGATTTCCAACTACACAATTTTATTGAATGATGCCTCACAATAAATTTAATAGATTTTGGTGCTCTCAGCTGGTTTCATAAGGGAGAAATTTATTTTATCAAAAAATTAAATTGACGCTTCTTAATTGGGGATTGAAAGTGCGCCTCGGTAACTTCCAACTATAAAATTCTGTTCACTGATACCCTACAACCACTTTAATACATTTTGATACTTTTAGTTCGTTTCATATCTATTTTAAATTTAATAAAAGGTAAAAAATGAGTCCTACCTTTCCGATGTAGTGTCGGTTTTTTGGAAAGAACAATTCTGAAATAACAACATCGTAATGTCCTCTTCCATAGTCCTCATTAGTTCGAAGTACTAAAACAATAACGATTTTGTCTTATTAATAAAGAAGGAATTAAAAAAAAAGATTAAATCATACCTTTTTCTATAAATTCAAAAGTGCAGTCCAGAATATTCTTAAGGCAGTAGGTTATAAGAAATTTTCCTTCATAGGCAAACTATTCGAAAAGCTGAAACAAAAAGATAATTGATTAGCAGTAGTGTAACAATAAATTAAATGAAAAAACCAATGTAATTCACGACCGTATAAATATTCACAATACTTGCGAAATGCTTGTTACTTTTTTTATTTCTTCTGAAAAAACAATTTAAAATACAATCATAAGTTTAATAAATTATAATATTACCATTAAATAAAATATAAAACTATTTGTTGTATCCCCATCATGGGCCCTTAGCATTTTTTACAAATATTTCATTTGAAATTTAAAATACATAGGCAACCAATTATGCAGCTTACTTCACAATCGCTTTTAGTGCTCTCTGGCGTTCGTACTGTGAACAGCTAGTTAGGAACCTTCACATCGAATTTTTTTTAATAGTTCCCTACTTTATCATCTCGAACCATAGCATCTAATATAACCTCACAAAGTCACATAACCTCTACTAAAAATATGTAAAACATTTACATTAAAATTGAATTAAAAAATTATACAATACTTTCAATAAAAATGGTTCAGGGAAGTAAAGTGTTTGCACCCCATCGTTGTTTAGGTTATGTTAGTAATCACATTCCTTTACAACTACGATACATTAAAAATAGGAAGGAACATTTGATTGTGACTTGTGCCGGTAAATTCTTCCTTACTTACGGAATTAGCCACTTTAGTTTACTCAGTGTTAGTGGAATTCATCCATCTGATATTACTTGTATGACTTCTGATACATATCATATATACACAGCTTGTGAAAATGTTATTTATGCATGGAGACGTGGTACAGAATTGAAACATGTTTATAGGGGCCATGCAAAATCGGTTCATCTTATGCTACCTTTCGGAATTCATTTAATTTCAATTGACGAAGGAAATAAAGTCAAAGTTTGGGATATTATAAACGAAAATGTCCTTTTGGAATTACTATTTCCTATTCAATCATTCAAAATAAGTGCAGTTGCTCATCCAAAAACATACATTAATAAAATCCTTTTCGGAAGCAAACAGGGTTCAATGCAATTGTGGAATGTGAACAACAGTAAACTAATATACTCCTTTAAAGGCTGGGACTCTAGTATTACATGTTTAGAGCAGGCTCCAGCATTAGATGTAGTTGCTGTTGGATTGGCATCAGGAAAAATTATCTTACATAATTTAAAATATGATGAAACAGTGATGGAATTTGTCCAGGATTGGGGTTTAGTCACCAGTATAACATTCCGTACTGATGGACATCCTATTATGGCAACAGGCAGTACAAATGGACATATTGTATTTTGGAACCTTGAAGATCAAAAAGTGGCTTCACAATTAGTTTCAGCCCATGAAGGAGCAGTGACTGGGATGATTTGTGTGCCAAATGAGCCCCTGATTCTTACATCTTCACCTGACAATACACTAAAACTTTGGATATTTGATATGACAGATGGAAGTGCAAGACTCTTAAGAATAAGAGAAGGTAGTTAACTTATACAGAAATTTTAGTTTATATTGAAAGTGAAATGTTTTGTTTTTAGGTCACTCATCTGCTTCAACATGTATTCGTTTTCATGGCTCAAACGGTCATAATATCTTGAGTGCAGGAAATGATTCAAGTCTTAGAATTTTCAATACCCAAACTGAGCAGTTCAATAAAAGTTTAGGTGTAGCGTCATATAATCGCAAAGTTAGTAAAAAAAGAAAAAAAAACGCTGAAGACTCTTTAAGAATGCCACCAATAGTGTTTTTTGCTTCTGAAACCACAAGAGAAAAGGAATGGGATGGAATTGCTGCAATACATTCTGGTAATAAAATTTAATAGAATCGACTTCTTATAGTTCCTAGTTAAAAATAGATTTGCCAATATGTGCTTCTTACACAGTTCAAAAAATACCTTTTTTCCTTTACCTGCAGGCTATATAAATCAGTTTCACAATTTTTTTCTCATTACTAATGATAAAATTGTAACAGGCTTGCCTTTGGTTACAACGTGGTCATATAATAAGAAAAAGATGGGAGATTACAAGTTACTTCCAGAAAGGTTACATAAAAAGAAGTTGAAGACAGAATGTTCAGTAACTGCCACTTGTTTGACTCTAACAAAATGTGGAAATTTTGTTATAGTAGGATACACTGACGGATATGTAGACAGGTAAATTAAACGTGAATTTTCTGTTTAGGGTGTAAGTTAAACTTGCAATAAACTACTGGTTAATATCGAACGTTCTTTTCCATTTTAAATCAAACTTGAAGGAATTTTACATGAAACGCATTTTAATTTGAAGTAGTACAAAATTTTTAGGGGTGTTTTCTGGGGAAAATTGCATACTATCCAGAATTTCTTAAAAGTAAACATTCCTTTCTGAGAGCATAGCTCACTTAATTTAAGTTCAATGTAGAATCTATTTAAACCATCAACGCAAACATTTTTCTAGGTTTAATATTCAGTCTGGGATGTGGAGAACTTCTTATGGAAATCCTTCAGCTCATGATACTACTGTTAGGGGCACAGCTGTGGATTCACTGAATAATGTCGTTATAACAGGCGGCAGTGACGCAAAAATTAAATTTTGGACTTTTAATGGGAAAGGTGAGGCTACAAATAAGTATATTTTTTATTAATGAATTAACTTTTTGTCATTTCAGAGACTACACCGTTACGAACTTTATCTATCGAAGAATCAATAAATTTTATAAGATCTCATCCTGAAAGTTCATTGATTTCTGTAACCACAGATTTTTTCTCTATTTTGGTTATTGACGTATCATCGAAATCAATAGTTAGAAAGTTCTGGGGCCACAAAGCTCAAATTACGGATGCAACTTTTAGCCCTGACTCGCGTTGGCTTATAACTTCTGCAATGGACTGTACAATTAAGACTTGGGACATACCATCTTCTCAATTAATAGACCATTTCAAAACAGAAGTACCCTGTATATCGTTGTCGATGTCTCCTACAGGAGAATTTCTGGCTACAGTTCACTTAGATAATTTAGGAGTGTTTTTGTGGAGTAATCGAAGTATTTATTCTCGCGTTTCTCTAAAAAACTTATCTCCCAGTGACGAGCCTCCCCTCATGATGCTTCCAGAAATAATTAATGAAGGTATTAAGGTGGAAGATGATGACGAAGATGAGGATGAATTAAACAAAGAATTCATTTCTAAGTGTCAAATATCGGATGAGTTGGTGACTCTTTCAGAATTACGAAACTCTCGTTGGCAAAATATCTTTAATATGGACATAATTAAGCAGAAAAATAAACCGAAAGAAGCTCCAAAAGTGTTCAAATCTGCACCGTTCTTTTTACCAACTGTAGCTTCCTTGACCCCTAAGTTCGATTTTTCGAAAAATAATGAAAACAAAGAGCAGGGCAACGTGATAACGCTCGATAAAAATTTCCATACATTTTCTCCGTTTGGGGAACTTTTAGATAAGACAAAAGAGCTGAATAATTTTGAAAATGTTGTCGAAACACTCAAGTCAATGGCTCCGAGTATGATAGATTTCGAAATTAAATTGCTGGATCCAGATGTAGGAGGAACAGTAGATGTTATGGTACAATTTTTAAAATGTATAGAACACATGTTAAATTCCAATAACAATTTTGAATTGGCTCAAGCATATTTGGCTACGTTCTTGAAACAGCATTTTAAAACTGTTATGGTAGAACCTAAACTTGTTAGTATGTTACCTACACTTCAGAATTGCCATTCTAGTACTTGGAACCGTGTGCAAGATAGAATGTTGTATAGTCTTTGTGTTGTTCAAGCGTTAAAATTGTTTGATCAATAAAGTTTTTCCATATAAGCATATTGTATTATATTATTAGCAATTAGTTGTTGAGTTTTTAAAATGTAAGAAAAAGCTTTTAAAGAGACTAGAATGAAAACAAACAGACAAGTTAGAATGTTATGGTTGAAGGACTACTAAAATAAAATGCTTTTTAAAAATACAGAAACAAATTGCAAAATTTAGATGTATAATATATATGTATGTATAAAATATATTTTTGTATTTACATCATCCTTAACAACGAAAAATTTAATTGAAAAATAAATAACACAACTTTTTCAAATAAAGCTAACAAAAACTTTTTGTTCGCATTTTTTTTACCTATAATCAGAAAACAGATAAGTATTCGTCATATACAGTACACAACGTAAAAATACCCACATTAGACAATTATTCAAAACAAACTAAAAAGCATTCATTTACGTCAACAGTGTTTATGTTATGAAATCATAACTCTTTTGTTAAACTGCCTTAAATAGATTTATAATAAAATACCAAATAAATTTAAATAGATTTTTTTACTAAAATCGAAAACTCACGACTCACACTGTAACCTTTTTAGATTACAGCGCTCTCTAATTTCGCGCGAAGGTACCATAATAATTTGAATTTAAAAATAACTTAAAATACTACTGATTATTGGTCCTTTACATAGGCAACACACTATACTGCCGAGTATGCGTGAGTGATGCAGTATCAGTTTTAACTCTTTTATTAAAGCCTCCCTTTTAAAAAAGAGGGTTTAAAATATTTACCAATAAGTTTCAGCCACATCATTTTAGTTTGTGTCCACCCATAATTACATTATTACATTTTGGTACATATCAATTCTTTTCATAAGGGAGAAATTTATTTGACGAAAACTAAAAACGTTTTCAAATTAGGGGTTGAAAGCGCACCCCGGCGATTTATAACTATCAAATTCTTTTCAGTGATGCCTCACAACAACATTAATAGATTTTGGTGCTTTTAGATCGTTTAATAAGGGAGAAATTAATTTATCAAAAAATGAAAACGACGTTTTTAAATTGGGGGTTGAAGTTGCACTTCGGTAACTTCCAACGACAAAATTCTTTTCAGTTATGCCTCAGAACAACTGTAATACATTTTTGTGATTTTAAATCGTTTAATAAGGGAGAAATTAATTTATCAAAATATTATAAAACCGTTTTTAACTTGAGGGTTGAATGCGCACCTCGGCGATTTCTAACTATAAAATTTTATTTAGTGATACTTCATAACAACTTTAATACATTTTGGCACTTTCAGTTGGTTTAATAAGGGAGAAGTTAATCTTAAAGGAAAGATAAAGAAATTAATCTTACTTTTCCTATGAAGTGTGGATGATTTTTAAAAACAATTCTGGAATAGCAGCCTTGTAGTGTCCACTTCCGCAGTTAACAACCCAAAACATTGAAAGAAAACTCCATAGTCGAATGGTTCGATATACTAAAACAATAAAAATTTTATTTTATAATTAATAAGTAAAATTTAAGAAAAAATGTATCANCAAGTAAGTGTTACAAATTATAAAAGTTAATTATTAACTAACTTCTACAAAAAAATATCCTAATACTATAATTACTAATACGCCCTAATGGCAAATCCAGCTCAAAGAAAGTACTGATCACTGTTCTTTTTTAGAAAAACAACCGAGTTACAATCATGGTAACACTTGCGCAATCTGATTATTGTAAACAACAATCATATGATCCTCAAGATCCTCGCTGTGCCAGAACTATTTTAACAGGAAGATTATTGAAGGTAAGGCAACAATGATTTTCAAGCATTGGAGATACAAAATAAACTGAAAAGTATTGACGTCAGGATTACCCATTATTAAGCGATGTATGTAGAAATCACATAACATAATCGTTATAGGGGTATTAGTTATTAATTTCTATTTCTTCCCTTTTTTCCCATTTGGACGTAGATTAATAGCTAATATAGGGTCATAAGGCTTTTTAAGGTACATGTACATATGTAGTAATACTCTCCTTAATTTTGTTTTTAGTAGATATTATTACATTGATTACTATCTATTGCTAATTCTCGATATTTTTTGCATAAGCAAATTTGTGCAAAGGTTCAAAATTTTGGTTTCTTTTATATCTATTTTACTTATTTAGTAGAGAATTGTACATGCAAAAAATATTAGAAATACCTAAAATTTATTATATGTTCATGTAATCACTAAAAAATTTAATTGGAAATTTTGGTGGAGGCGCCGGGACAATTTAAAACAAAGGCTACAATTGACCTATAATTCTGATTTCATTGAAGTAGATTGATGAATTTTCACCTTTAAATTATATTTTTTCGTAGATGCAGTTGGGAATGCCAATTTGTCATTTTTTTTTCAATTAAAGTCAATTTATAATATAACATATAGGCAGCCCAACATACAGCAAATACTACAACTGTATAATAACAAAACTACAAAAGAATTAGAAAACGTTTTTTAAGGGAAATTCAATATTATCCTCGAACAAATTATAAAATATTACTCAGAAATTATTAATGATTTAGTAACATATTTTTGAAGATATGCTTTGAGCGAATTTGGCTGAAAACCTTTATACATCCTTATAACAATAAATTACAAAAGTTACATAACTTTGTGTAGTGTATATGATTTTTTATTAAATAAATAAATTATTTTATTTCTCACTGCTGTTTTGTTCCTTCGTCGTATAACTGGGGAATTTAAGAATTTAAATAAGAGGTGGACATGAAATATCCCATAAAAACCATTTATATGTAGTTACTAAATAGGAATATTTAGGAAATTGCTATTGCAAATTGTCATTTAAATATAGATAATTGTTTATGAAGTTATGTATTTTAATACAAATAATTAATACGTTGCTGAAAATTTTGGTGGAGGCGCCGGGACAATTTAAAATAAGGCTATAGTTGAGCTATAATTTTGATTTAATTGAAATAGGTTGATGAATTTTCACCTTTATATTATATATTTTTCAGTAGATGCAGTTGGAGATGCCAATCAATATTTTAAATTATTTTTAATTAAACCACAATTTATAATGTAATTTATAGGCAACCTAACATACAGCAAATATTACAACTCTATAATAATGATGCAAAAAAGAGTTAGAATACGTTTTTTAAGTGAAACTAAATACTAGCCTCGAACAAAGAATAAAATTTTACTTATAATAATAAATATATAATATTTAATGAATTAGTAACATGTTTTTGAAGATATGCTTTTAGTAAATTTGGCTGAAAACTCTTATACATCCAATCCAATAAATTACATAAATTAAATAAGAGATGTAGATGAAATATCCCATAAAAACCATTTATATGTAGTTACTAATTAGGAATATTTAGGAAATTGCTATTGC